AGGGGACTCTGCCATCTTCAACCTGAAGCACTCCTGAAATGTCATTAGGAGGGACCTAAGGTGGGATGACGGGATGTTGGGATATTGTGATTTGAATATTTTCAAATAAGGCAATTTTTTGAGACAGGGTCTCCTTGTAGCCCCAACTGGCCTGAACTTGATATGTAGACCAGGCTGGCCTCAAACTCACAGATAACCACCTACCTCTGCCTCCCAAGTGCTGGGATTAAAGGTGTGTGTCACCATACCCACCTGCTCTCATTTCTTAATGTAGTTTTTCTTTGTGGAGGGTGAGTTCTGGTTTTAGGTTGCCTCATTCTATCATACATTTGTTCTCTTTGTAATGTCTATTCTATAGCCTCAGCAGATTCATTATATAGAAAAGCCAAAATTTATAATTAAAGAATAAAACTGAAGGCAAATCCATTTTGTTTTGTACATATTAGCAAAGGCTGTAAAGTCTGGTATCATTTGGTTTTACTAAGATTTGTTGAAATAGACACCCTGGTTCCATAATGCAATGGAGAGCACTCTGGACTCTGAAATAGACACCATACCTCTGCTAAATGGATGGAACTAGAAATCATGTTAAATGGAATAAGGTGGAGTCTGAAAGGCAAGCATTGTTTTGTCTCATGGAGTCTCGGGTGAGGGGGTTGTGAAAGTAGAAGGAAGACTACAGGAGGACAGGAAAAGGAATGGGGAGGTGGGTGAGGGTAATGGGGGTGATACGACCAAAATACATCATATGCTTAAATGAAAATGCCTTAATGAGACCCATTATTCTTTGTTGTCACTATATGCTATTTTAATATTAGAGCCAAGTTGGGATCATTTTGTTGGTATTAAGAAAGGTTTTAATGTTTGATCTCATCTAGCATTACTGTGGTTTGGAGTGACAGACCCTGGACATGCCCCCCTTATGGGAGTATGGAAGGGCACAGCTTTTTGGAGTTCTCTTAGCAGTACCTGTCAAACTTAAATTATATGTACCCTTTGACTTGGTAGTTCTTTTCTAGAAATTTAACCTATCAGTGAACTACAAGTCAGATCCTCCTCCTTCCTTATTTTAAGCCCTTTGGTTTAATGGCTTAGTGCTGCATTTACATTAGAGTGTATACTCTGTCCTTGGGTTTCTAAGACCATAGATGATTGACTCTGCCTCTTGTCCACATTTCAGACTGCTCTGCTGCTTTGCTTTGATATACCATGGTCTCTCCTGCTAAGGGCCTGTGTCATTCTGAGATTACTTCCCTCAGACCTTTTGATGGCAGGCTCTTAAGTCAACGCTCAAAAGTCACGTGCTTTTCTATCTACTTTTAGAACATTTGGATAGCTGCAACAAATACTTTAGACTTGGACATTTATAACAAGAGTTAATTGTAATATTGCATGTAAAAAGATACATGTGGGACTGGAGAGGTGGCTCAGCAGTTAAGAGCACTGACTGCTCTTGCAGAGGACCCAGGTTCAATTCCCAGCACCCACATGGCATCTCACAACTGTCAGTAACTCCAGTTTCAGGGGATCCAGCACCCTCTTCTGACCTTCACGGGTGTTGCATGAAATGGATCTCCTGTCTCAAAAAGACCAAAAAAAAAAAAAAAAAAAAAAAA